CGAGATGTCGAATAATTTCCGTCGTTTTTGTTGTACGGGAAATATTAAATACTTGTATATGATTATTATTTGTAATTAATTATTATGTTGACCGGCCAGCTAATGGAAGCATCAAGGGAAGTCTCACTGGTATAAGCATTGGAACTGTGACTCAAACTCAGAAAATTTGGAGGAGTTTCCAAGCTCTCGGAGACATCGCTTTCGCCTACTCGTTTTCCATCATCCTTATCGGAAATTCAGGTACAAATTATAAATAAAAGAAATTTAAACATTTTTAGTAACATCATAACATATATAGTGGGAAGCATTCGTGGAATGGATGGAACTAGCTAGGGCTGGAAATTGGAACGAAATATCTGATTTCCACATATTCCAATCCGAAAGTTCCTGATTCTGGAACATTATTTTTCATTCCGGATTTCAATTTTTACGATTTTTTTTGGATTGGAATTGGAATAAATATATATGAGATTCCGATTTCCGATCCAACTTCAAACTCTGAAAATAAATTCCGAAATTCCAATTTCTAAATTTTCCAAAATTTTATAGATTGAAATTGGAATAGATATAAGATCCCGCTTTCTGATCCAATTTCAAACTCCAAAAATAAATTAAAAAATTCCAAAATTCGCACTTATAATATCGAAATTGTTATGTTTTTGGTATTTTTAGCGAGTAAAAATTTGGAATTTTCTGAATTCCACCAATTCGATCCTAAAATTTTCCAATTGTAGAATATAATAAACAACTTTTTCGTCCCAAATTCAAAAAAATATACCTCTGGTTTCTGAATTTTCCGATTTTTTTTAACGGAGTCGGAATTAGTAGTTATTTAGTTCCGAAAACATCAATTCTCGACCGGTCCGATTTCCGCCCCTCGATGGAACTCCCTAATGCATGCATGCATGCATTAACTTTCATTAATTTAATCTGAGCTGCGTAAAAAAAATTATAAATGAAACAGGACACAGTGAAATCGCCACCATCAGAGGCGAAAACAATGAAGAAAGCCACTTTAATAAGCACAATCGTAACCACAGCTTTCTACATGCTCTGCGGTTGCATGGGGTACGCAGCGTTTGGCGACCACGCGCCGGGAAACCTCCTAACCGGGTTCGGATTCTACAACCCATACTGGCTCCTCGACATAGCCAACGCCGCCATCGTGATCCACCTAGTCGGCGCCTACCAGGTCTACTGCCAGCCGCTCTTCGCCTTCGTGGAGAAACGCGCCGCCGAGAAGTGGCCGGACAGCGGGTTCATCGCCGGCGAGATCCGAATCCCGATCCCCTTCTGCCAGCAGCCCTTCAGGCTGAACACGTTCCGCCTGGTGTGGAGGACGGCGTTCGTGGCGGCGACCACCGTGATATCGATGCTCCTCCCGTTCTTCAACGACGTGGTGGGGATCCTCGGGGCGCTAGGGTTTTGGCCGCTGACGGTGTACTTCCCGGTGGAGATGTACATCGCGCAGAAGAAGATTCCGAGGTGGAGCACGAGGTGGGCTTGTCTGCAGATGCTGAGTTTCGCGTGTCTCGTGATCTCGATCGCGGCGGCGGCCGGTTCCATCGCCGGAGTGGTTCTTGATCTCAAGGTTTACAGGCCGTTCAAGACAAGCTACTGATGATCAATAAATTAAATTAAATAATTAATATTTTGTGTTTGTTGTACATTAGAATTTGGTGCTGTGGTTGGTGTTGTTTTTGATGAAATAAATTGATAATCTTTTGTGTTTTGCTTTTCATGTTACTATTGTTGTACTTGTTATTACAATGTATAATCAAGGCTAAGGACTTTTTATTTTTCAGTTTTTATTTG